GAAAGAGATTGAGTAAAGGAGAGAGAGATGGCTGGAAGGGGCTGCAGAGTCAACTGCATGAATTAACTGGGCAACGGCCAACTGGCAATTGCTCTGTGGCCTAATGCGCAGCACAGACAGCAACAAAAAAAAAACTGGTAAAACGGAATCATTCAAACGACTAATAAATGCCCTGTAATTCGATTTTAATTATCGTAGAAATGCGCTGAAAACTTTGTGTGGGGTCAAGAAGATCTTGAGATTATTTAGAGGTTAGCTTTGATATTCAATACAGATGCAAATAACTAAATAAGTTAAATGCTACTTTTTTATATAATCAAGAATATTATATACATTAAAATTTTATAAGAAGCTGCCAAAACATGAGACTAGACCAAAGCCTTTTAGATTACTCTACCTTCCTAGAAAGATTCTAATATTACAATATATTATTTCTATATAAATATAAGAACATACTCATCAAAATATAAAATATATAAAATAAGATAAAATAAAATAAAATGAATATATTTTTTAAAAATATATAAAATATATGTTTCATTTATTTAATAAAAATATTTTTGTTTTAGTGTTTTATATAAGTAACAAAATAAGTATATTTGTTTTAATGTTTTATATAAAAAACAAAATAAATATTTTTGCTTTAATATTTTATATAAAACATTAAAACAAAAATATTTTTATTTAAATAAATGAAACATATATTTTATACATTATTAAAAAATATATTTATTTTATTTTATATGTTGAGATATTAATTTTATTTTATCTTATTTTAATTTAAATGGGACACTTTATATACAAAACTGTTGTGTTTTAAATTTTTCATTTAAGAGTACAGGACACAATCGTATATATTATATACATCATTTATATGCATATTCCCAGAAATAACAACCAAAACCTTCCACAAAACTCAATCACTTCCATCATGCCCGTCACTCTAACTGTCTACAGGGTATACGCAAAAAAAGCATTTGTTAGCGGCGCTGTAATATTTATGAAAATGGCAAATGCAAAGGGGGGAGAGGGAAATGGTTAATTGGGCAACAAAGCCCCCCTGAACTCCCTCTCAGTCATTATTTACGCCCGCCTCGCACAGGTTGATTGAGTTTTATTAATTTGTTGTCCATGACGACTGCTAATGATACGACAGCTAAAAGAGCTCATGCTGATGATGATGAACAGCCAGAGATGGGCAGAGACAGGAACGGGTGGGGAGCGGGAGAGAAGAAAGTGTGAAAGAGAAAGAGAGAGACAGAGAGAGAGAGAGAGACTTGATGCGATTATTACGCAAAGCGCGTTGCGCGCTTAGTCGTGGATTGCGGCTTGGTTTACATTGCGTATACGTCATGTCGGACACAGCTTGACATGTCATAATTAGCGTGCGTGTTGCCGCTGCAGCTTGTTGCATGCACTCGTTGACTGCGACTCTGCCGCGACTCAGTTTGTTGCCATTACGATGCTCAAATCAACGTGAATTTCGTGTGAAAATCGAGGCGCATGCCCAGCGGTCAATTTGACTGTGCTGCCAGAGCCACGGCTGATCCCCTCTCCCTCTCTCTCCCTCTCTCTCGTTCGCTCTCTATCTATCTCTCTATCTCCTTTTTTAGCTTCGTCGTGGCTGCAACAGCAGCTGCAGGCATCGTATGTCTGTGTGTGTGTTGTGTGTGTGGGCTCCGGCTAGGGTCCACCTCCACATAAGTGAGTTAAACGCAATGAAAAGCCAAATATTCCCACAGAATCATATGAAATACTTTGCCTTACACACAAAAATTTTGCTCTTAACCAGGCGATGGCTTACAGCATTTTACCTGGGCATTTGCTGTGTCACGTTTCCAACTCATCGCCCCTCTCCCTCTCCCTCATCCTCTCCCTCTGTGTCGTCTGTCTGCCGGACCTGCCCCGCTGGGGCTGCATGTAATCCAAGCTGCAGTCAATTTTTGTTTGGCCAAATTGGTTCTCATGCTGCGACCAGCTTACATAAGCTCATCATGTCTGCCTCCTGCTCCGTCTCCGTCTCCGTCTCCGTCTCCACCTCCAGCTCGTTTCGATTGTTAACTAATTTGTCTTGTTTAACCTTTTTATTGTAGCAAAAAATGCGATATGGATCGAGAGCGCGAAAGAGATGCAAAGGGCCTCGAGCCGCGCGACTTATCCTCCACGGGCCGCATCTATGCTCGCAGCGATATTAAAATCAGGTAAAAGCTGGCTAGCACCTATCCCACCTGGACTCCAGCAATTTACACATTGGTATTCTTTTTTTTTTTGTGTTTTTGTTTGTGGCACATTTGCAGCGCTTCCCCCACCGTTTCGCCAACGATCTCAAACTCCTCATCGCCCACACCGACGCCGCCCGCCAGCTCCTCTGTGACGCCGCTGGGCTTGCCTGGCGCGGCGGCGGCTGCAGCTGTGGCCGCTGCGGCAGCGGCTGCTGCGGGCGCCGGACCCGGTGGCGCCTCGGCCGGGGCCAGTTCCTATTTGCATAACCACAAGCCCATCTCGGGCATACCCTGTGTGGCGGCCGCATCGCGGTACACAGCGCCGGTTCACATCGATGTGGGCGGCACGATCTACACGAGCTCCTTGGAGACGCTTACCAAATATCCCGAGTCGAAGCTGGCCAAGCTCTTCAATGGCCAGATACCCATTGTGCTGGACTCGCTGAAGCAGCACTACTTCATCGATCGGGATGGTGGCATGTTTCGCCATATACTGAACTTTATGAGAAACTCAAGACTATTGATTGCCGACGATTTTCCCGACCTGGAGCTGCTGCTCGAGGAGGCGCGCTACTACGAAGTGGAGCGTAAGTATAGACAAAATTCCCCTCTCTGCCAACTCCTCCTCTAACCGCATTTGACCTGTTGCTAATTTGCCTATCTCTCACTCTCTCTCTCTCTCTATCATTTTGTGGCCGTCGGCAGCTATGATTAAGCAGCTGGAGAGTATGCGCAAGGAACGCGTACGCAATGGCAACTATTTGGTGGCGCCACCCACACCGCCAGCACGTCACATTAAGACCAGCCCAAGGACGAGCAATGCGCCCGAGTGCAATTATGAGGTGGTCGCATTGCACATCTCACCGGATCTGGGGGAACGCATTATGCTGTCGGCGGAACGGGCCCTGCTCGACGAGCTCTTCCCGGAGGCGAATCAGGCAACGCAGTCGAGTCGCAGCGGCGTCTCCTGGAACCAGGGCGACTGGCGCCAAATCATCCGCTTCCCACTGAACGGCTATTGCAAGCTGAATTCGGTGCAGGTGCTCACACGGCTGCTGAACGCCGGCTTCACCATCGAGGCCAGCACCGGGGGCGGTGTCGAGGGGCAGCAGTTCTCCGAGTATTTGCTCGTCCGTCGCGTTCCAATGTGATAGGCTTCATGTCCAGGTCAACGTCTGCCTCAGCGTTCTGGGCACTGTGTAATCGTAATCTTTGTGCGCGTTGCGCACTAATTGCTTCCCCTTAGGGTGGTTTTTGGGGGGTTTCGACAAGGGGGTTTCGGCGGGCAGGGCAGGGCAGGGCGTGCCGCGGGTGTGGGCGGTACGTGGGGGAGGGTGTTTGTTTTATTTTTTTGCAAATTTCTAAAATCCAAATGTTATTTAATGTTTATATCAATTAGGTTTTTTTGCCGGAAGTCAACCAGATACCCGCACATGCACACGAATACACCCACATACACACACACATAGACACACAACAACAATATTCGTGTATTTCTTTAGCATTTAAGATGAAGCCCAGGGCCCCCAGCACTGATTTGTTTATGGCCTAAGTTGAGTAGTTCCGCTTAGTTCGGCATATTTAAACTAGTTTCTGTTGTTTTTAAGTAATTCCCATAATTACAAATACTTTCGGTTATTTAATTGCATAAAAAAGAAAACTAGCCTGATAGACACCTCCCGGGAAGTGTCTTGAAGCATATCTTATAATACGTACACATATGTAGCTATCAAAAAAAGAAAGAAAGCAAAAGTAAAAGAAAATCAAAAATCAAAATGAAATGAATAAAAACAAAAGCAAACTAAGCAACTATATTGATTAAACTCACAGCAATAGTTTTGTAGTAAATAATTGATGTAATTGAACTTTTATGAATGTAAACTATGGATTAACTTTTCAATATACATACATATACAAATACATATACATATAAATACCGACAAGCTCTACAATATGTGCAAAGTATAAATACTCAAATGAAAAAAAAAAAACACTTGAATAAATAAATAACAAAAAAAATTAAAGCAGTTTGCGCCCACTTTTAGCAAATTCCATTAAATTGTCTAATTGCGTATCTCAAAATAAACAAGAAAAAAACAAAAAAAAAAATTTAAATCAATTGAAATCAAATCGTTTTATTTAAATTGTCAACGGTTGAGATTCACATAGGCGCCATCTAGTGTTCAATACATCTAACACTAGCGCCATCTTCTTAGCACAAAGTAGTTACATCAGCAATACAATAGATGGCGCCAATGTATGGCAGTTAAGCTATTAATTTGAAGCACCATTTAAACTTAACTGCTAAACTTGCTCTCTCACTTATGCTCTGGATTTTGAAAAAGTAAATGTTTTGTCAACCTGCTGAAATTTCTGTTCGCCTGGTGCTTTAGCTGAATTTGAGTCCGAGTCGCGTGAGCTGAGCTCAGTGACGTAATTGGCGGCCCAGACGGGTATGCAACGAAATTTTGTAATTGCTAATTTTTAACTATCCGCTTTAACTTAGCCCAGCTATTTTTCTTGCACTCGAGGGAGGGATTTGTTTCTATGATGCGCGCTCCCATTGACTCCCACACAAATATCTAAGAATCCAATACTGTTTTAATCAAGATCGATAGAGTTCGTACATACGTTCCTATCCAATCTTATCAGCTGAAATTACACATAAACCATTAATAAAAAAATTTCGCTTTTATTTAAAAATCGTTTTATTTATTTCTAAATATGAATATACATATATTTTTTTCTGTAGGTACGTGTAAACTACTTGCAATTAAATTAAATTAAATTAAGATTTATATGTCCAATTGCATACGCAGCGTACTGAATCATTGTGAAGCAGACACGCATACAGATTAGTTGTTAGGCGTATTACAATCGCATTTTTATCGTTTAAATTATGTACATATTTATCTTTGTTCAATATAAAGTAGACTAAGGCTTAGGATTAATTACATTTCAGTTGTAATGTGCCAACAAATATTCGAAATCTTTAGGAGAATTGCATACTCGATGATGCATGGCACGCTCGGGATTTATTTGTTTATTTTTGTATTTATCGAAATTAAATTGTTTTTGTTTTTTTTTTTCATTTTTATATAAATTTTTTGAGGCCAAAAAATACAAATGTATCAGATCAGCGTCTATAATTAGATCAGTGGCCCGCAATATCGAACGAAGTTTTAAAAATTCTTAAACAGCTATACTATTTCCTAGGAACTATATCACAGTTGGAGACTACAAACTAGAAGCCTATAACTCTTAAAAGATACCTATGTCTATATATATAGATAAGATATTGATTTGATACAACTGCGAACTAGAAATAACTTTAGCTTAGTGGGTCGTTCCTTGCACTTCCAAAAACCTGAAGCCCACTCGAATAGATCCTTAGATCCGATTCGATTGTGATTCAAGTGCAAGTGCTGGTCGCGCAGGACGTCTAAGAAATGCACTATCGGTGTTTTGATCTCGTAATTACATTGAGTCTACAAGCGCTACATAAAATATACAACTAGTTCTCTACGTATCCTAAGTTGGTTGATATGGAGTGGGACATATAGATATATATATACGGAAAGGTCTTGCTAAGTACGCTACAGTGTAATAACGAGACTTTACATTCAAATGGGGGGAGTTTGGTTTTTACAACTACAGACGAATGGGGCTTTATCTATGATAACAGCATTCAGAAGGCACGCATCGGCAGCAACTGCATCCGCAACTGGCGATGGCTTCACAAGGCACTTGGGTACTACGTGGCAAGATTGATATCCAAAAACGGTTTGTTACATTCTGGCAGTATGTATGTATATGTGTGGGTGTGGGTGTGTGTGTGTGTGTGAGGATGTGTGGCTACACTCGCGTCTCGGTGCTGCGACTGCGCAGCAATTGCAGCGGCTGCAGCTCACGTTGCGTATCGTTGTAGTACTCATGATCGGAGCTGGTGGACTCGCTGCCCGGCATCTTCACCTCCATGCTGCCGGGCACACCTGCCACAGGTATGCCAATGGTTTGGGTGGGAATGGGCGCCTCGCCAGCGCTGAGTGCATTCAGCAGATACTCTGGATTATCCACGCTCACGGGCACCTGTTTGGGAGCAAGATAAACTTCAATTAGTATTCAATTCACACTTTAAGCTTATTCAATTCTCTACTTACGCCTATCACATCGATGTAGCCCGTGGCTGCTGCTGCCATGTTGTTGTTGGGATTGTTGCTGTTGTTGTTGTTGTTGTTGCTGCCATTACTCTGGCCAGTGGGCATCAGATAGTCATCCTCATCGACTGGCAGATCAAGTCGCAGATTGCCCACGCCCACTTCGCGGGCATTGGAGTCGGTTTCGTCATCGCCAACGCCTCCGCCACTGTTCGAATTCTTGTTGCTGGGATCCTTGCAGTAGCGATTGAGCTTGGGTATCTCGTCGGTGCCATCAGTGCGATGGCTGGGACCGGGCGCCGCCTTGGGCTGCAGATAGTCATCGGCCTCGACCAGGGGCTCGGACCCATCGGTGGTTGGCGCCAATTTGCGTATGAGATCCTTTTCATCCTGGCTGGTATAGGCGGGCAGCCTGGTGAACTTATCGCCGGGTATGACCAGGAAACGGCCCGGATCACGAGCGAACTCGGCAAACACGTTGGTCAGCTGCTTGAACGTCGGACGCAGATCGGCGTCCAGCTGCCAGCAGGAGAGCAAGGTGCAGTAAATGTCCAGGGAACAGATCTCGGGCTGCTCCAGTTTCAGGCCCATCTCGATGAGATCGGGTATATCCTTGGCCAGTATATTCTCATGTGGCCGCTGGCCAAAGGTCAGCAGCTCCCAAATCGTCACGCCAAATGCCCACACATCCGACTTACTGGAGAAGATGCGATGCCGGATGCACTCGAGCGCCAGCCACTTGATGGGCATCTTGCCACCGGCCGCCTTGTATTCATTGGACTCCAAGCTGAGCAGCTTGGCCAGGCCAAAGTCCGTAATCTTCACCAGCGATGGCGTCTGCACCAGGACATTACGTGCGGCCAGATCGCGATGCACCAGCCGCCGCTCCTCCAGGTAGGACATGCCCTTGGCTATCTGGGTGGACCAGTTGAGCAGCGCCTTGGATCCGATCTTGTCCCGATTGTTGCGCACATAGTCGAGCAGGCAGCCCAGCGGCATGAGCTGTGTGATCAGCATCATCTGCGAGGACATGCAGACGGCCAGCAGCTTGAGCAGATTGCCGTGCTCCACAGTTGCCATGGCGTAGGCCTCGTTGAGGAATTCCTGACTGGACTCGGCACCAGACGTCTTGAGCAGCTCCTTGATGGCAACAGGTATCTTGACATTCTCACCCTCCGGCACCCAGACACCCTTGTAGACACGTCCAAACGCGCCCATGCCCAAGACGCCGCCTTTGCGCAATTCCGCATCCTTGACGATTCGCAGCTTGCTGAGATTGGCGCCTATGTTGGAGGGACGCAGCGGCTCCGCGTCATCGCAGCCGAAGAATGCTTTGGCCAAGTCGTCGGTCTCCTTCTTCTCCTGCTGCTTCTGCCGGCAGATGTAGATGATGACGCTGAGCACACAGATCACAGGTATGAAGACGGCCACAAAGATGATGATGATCATGTTCACATTGAGGTTGGCGGTCACCTTGGAGCCGCGTGGCGGACTGGACACGCAGTGCGGTCCAATGAAGTGCGATTGGTAGTTGACATGCGGCTGCTCCGCCGGGCACTTGGAGGTGCAGTTGAACATGGTCGAATTGTCGTAGACCTCGCCCTCGGCAAACACCTTGAAGTTGACACAGGCCAAGCAGTCCTCCGCGCCGGGACCCGTGCAGCCCTTGCACTCCGGATGGCAAACGAAACACTCGCGCCTCTCCTCATCCGCATAGTGATCGCTCGGGCACTCGTCCTCGCACTGCTCCAGTCGCTTGTAGCGCGCGCACTTGGAGCAGACCTGCAGATGGAAGCCATAGTTGGTGCACAGCTCGCAGCGCGGATGGCACTTGCGACAGATGGCCTTGCCGGCCAAGGGCTTGAGCGAGCCCTGCTCCTGCGGATGCACATATTCCCAGTAGTAGCCGTCGGGGCACTTGTCGTCCTTGCGCAAGCAGCGCTCCACCGTCGCATCGGCATTGATGATGGCCAGATTGCACGTATTGCAGGCGCCGTGTCCAATCGTGTTCTTGGGTCCGGTGCAGCCCTCGCACGTCTCGTGGCACTTGCGGCAGATGCCAAAGTCCGCGTACTTGTCATCCGGACAGACGGTCACGCAGTGCTGCTCGTCGCGCACATGAACGCACTCGTCGCAGTGCTCGGCGCCGGGGCCGGAGCAGGTGCGGCACTCCGGATGGCATTTCTTGCAGGTCTTTGAATCGAACTGGTAGGTGCTGCAGAGTGAGAGAGAGACAGAGAGAGAGAGAGAGAGAGAGAGAGAGATGTTAGTAAAGAGTTAAGGCAACCAGAGTGATTTGCTACTCACTTGGAGACATTGCGACAGTCGGCTATGCAGGTGCCATTGTAGTTGAAGCTCTTGCAGTTCAAGCACTGCTCCGGTCCAGCGCCCCAGCAGCCATCGCTGTTGCATTGATCCGAACAGATTTGACCCGTTTTGCCTGCAAATATAGAGAGTGAGAGATAAGTTAAGCATACTGAATAGCTTCAACTGGAGAAATGAATATATACTTACGACACTCGGACGTATTTAGATTCTCATTGATGAACAGCTTCTGATCGTTGGTCTTCTGAATCGCGGCCCAGTGTATGCTGCTCACATAGCAGAGCTGCGTGTTGTGCTGTATGACGATGCTGCCGGAGTTGATGCGCTTCAGACTGCGCAGCTCCAGGCTGGATAGCGAGGACTTGACAATGGCCAGGGCGGCAAAGTAGCTCTCCATGAGCTGGCGACCGTGAATGACCTCCAGATTGCGAAAGTAGGAGAGATTCTTGAACTGCGGATGCACTCCCTCGATATTCAGATAGCCGGTGATCTCTTTGACCGTGGAGAAGACTTCGAGACGGTCGGGATGCATGGGTATATAGCGTGCGCCCATCGTGTAGTTCGCATAGATGTCCTGATAGCCCGAGAAGGTCTGGTCCAGCACTCGGATGTTGCCCTCGATCACGGTGCAGTTCTTGAACGAGTCAATGTTCCCGGAGTGGAGAACCGCAACGCCGGGACAGGTCTTGGGGCAGGGTCCGTTGCAGGCGACGCATTCGCCGTCCTTGGCCATTTTGTCCGAGGGGCAGCTGCGCACACAGGCGCCATTGTCCTTCAGCAAGTGTCCCGGACACTCACGCACACAGGTCGCGCCATAGGCGTACTTGCCCTCGGGATTGGCCTCCAGCTCATAGTTGGTCGGGTTGTATTTGCGCATGGGCGGGCACTCCTCCTTGCAGACGCCGTCATCGAAGAAGTTCTTGCACGCGATGCAATCCTTTTGCGTCGGTCCCGTGCAGCCGCCAGCGCAGAACAGGTGACAGCAGTCCCTCGGCCCAGAGCCGAAGCAACGGCCCTGCGCACACTGCGGCGCACAGGTGATCTTGCTGAACTTCTGGCAATTGTGCGCTCCCTCGCCCCAGCAGGCGCCGCGCTCGCACGACGGATGGCACGCCGGGCACGTGCGCTCCGCGGCCGTAAAGGTGTACGTGTAGTTGTAGTCGTCGTTGGCGCCCGACAGAATTTCGCGCCACACAATGGAGCGCGTGTGGCACAGATTGTAGTTGTTGAAGAAGCCAACCCAGCCAGCGAGTATATCGCGCAGCTCGGGCATCTCCAGGGTGTTCATCTTCGAGTATGTGGCAAACAGGGCGTATTTCTCCTCCTCAACAGTCAGGCTGAACAGCGTGCGGCCGCGAATGATTTGCAGTCTGCAGCAAAGAGAAAGACACAAATGGGGATTTAGATCGGCTGATGCTAAAGAGTTCTCAATAATGTGCTACTTACTTGGGAAATATCACATTCGTCACATCCACATGACTGATCAGTATATAGCCCGTTACCTCACGTATGTTGGCCAGGAAGCTCAGGTCCAGGTTGGGATCCTGCAGCCAGGTTAGCTCCAAATTGCCATCAACATAGGTGCAGTTCGTGTAACGATCGCGCAGATTACGATAATGATGCTCTCGATTCGAGGGCACAGACAGACGACTCTTTGTGCCAATGCAAACTGTAAGCAGAGGGAGAGAGAGAGAGAGAGAGAGAGAGAGAGGAAAAGATGAATTAGTATTTGAGTTGAAATTAATGAAACCATTTTCTAATATATCATTTTTAATAAGACTTGTGAATATATATTAATTATAATTAATAATACTCTAGAAACAGATTTCTTTCATGGGAAAATAAAAGCTATATTTAGATAAATAAGAGAAATTGATGAATGTATAGCCAAAGACTTGGCTTGACTTGAGCAAAGAGCAAAAGTGAAATAAAATTAAGAGGAATGCTTGGTATCATGTATAATCTAATAATTTATAGTTTATATAAGATTTGTTTTTTTTTTTTTAATTTTTTTTTTTTTTTTTAGATATTTCAACATAAATTCGGCAGTTTATTGAATTATATACATATATTTATTTATTATATGATATTATTATTATTTATCCATATTTTTTCAAGTTTTTCAACTCCAATTTCAGCAATTATCTTTTATTATATCTGAAACGCATCTACCCCATCTGAAGAGTACTCAAGTTAACTTTCTGAATTTATTAAATTAAAGATAATTCAGGGCGTCAAGTGAGTTTGCACAGGGAAAGTAAATACATTTCACGCTTGATTTCCGCGGAACATTGGATTGTGTGTGTGCGTGCGTGTGGGCTGGGCTTAATTGCGAGCCGTTGTCTAATTAGACGAAGGTAGGTGTTGAATTATGTGCTACAGGTGAATGCAAATGCTAAGAAATTATAAATTATAAATTAAAATCAAAGACCAAAGACCAAATTTCATTTGAATGATAAACGGAAATAGCTAGAGCTGGGAGAGCGCAAGTTTGTTGCCTAAGTCTTTTGTATTTAATGCTCGGAAGCAATGAAAACAACTTAAACAAAAACTTATAAAACAACAACGACAACAACAACAACAGCTAGCAGCAAGTGGGCGCTGCTGAGTCGCAGTTCAGTTGGCGTTTTCAATAATTAGCAGCCCACGCAGACTCCGAGTCAGACTGAGACACAGAGTTGGAGACCGAGACGGAGATGGGGATGGAGACGGGGCCGACTCCAATGACTGCTGTTATCATTAGTCAGCGACCTGTTTTAGCTGCCAGCAGAGTCAGCAGAGACGTTCGTACATCTTCCAGCTGCCATTGCCATTGATTTGCATGGCCTACTACTAGATGATTATGTGTATGAGCGCAGAGATTCTATGAAAAGGGCTACGTGGGTCGCCGCGCTCATCGTGTGGGCCGCAAAAGTGTGCCATGTCGCAGTTGGGGCTGGAGTTCGAAAGACATAGACACCCACTTGCAGCCAGCCAGCCAGCCCACCACTTGGGCACGCCCACCTCTGTTACTCAGCTAATTATCAAACGGAAAAAAAGAATGAAAGAGACGAAACAAAAAAATAAATTTTAAAAAAAATTATCGATAGCCATAAATATTGCGCATTTTATTGATTTCAGTTCGTGGAAAGGCACGAAAAAAAAAAAAGCGGAACAACAGTCGAAAAGAGTTTTAAAAATAATTATGAAGAAAGATATTGGATGCGAAAATATTGGCAGAAATATTTTGTTTGTCGCCAGAAATGCGAAATTCTTGAGTTGCTTGGGAAACGTAAAAAGAAAGACAAAAAAAAAAAACCAAAGAGAAGAAGTTAAATGCCTGCAGTTATGCGGCGCGATGCATGCCACACTGGACACACTGCGGCTTAAAGGCAACGGGGACAACAACAACAACAGTAAGCAGCAACGGCAGAATAAAAGGTGAGGCTGCAGTTGACATTGGGACGCGGCGCACATTGATCAAAAGCGGCTGCTGGCAAATCGAAGCGCAAAAATTTTCGTACAAATTCTTTGGCTTTGTTTTTGTCCTGCTGCTGCTGCTGCTGCTGTTTCTGTTGCTGATGATGATGATGCTGGCACGACGCAGAGTTAAGCGAGAGAGAGCCGAGCGAGCCGCTGGCCAGTTAAGGCAAGGCTGGCCACAGCCTCTTCGCCTTTAACTCCACTTCAGCCATTTCTCATACCGAACGCCGCATGCAACCCTTTTCAAGCCGCTTTATCGCGCACAATTTATCAGCAGCGTTTTTCATGTTGTGCTCCTTGCCTGAAACCTAAGACACGAACAGTGAACAGCGAGCAGCATCAGCAGCAGCGGGGAGCGGCTGGCGTTGGGGCTGGGTTTCTTGTGAAATGCTTCAGATGTTGCATATGCGATTTTTCTTTTGCGCCGCGGACACGCCCGCATTAACTCTGTCTGTCTGCCAGTGTGTGTGTGTGAATCCCTCTCTCTCAGTGTGTGTGTGTGTGTGGCAAAAAGGCTAATTTGTAATCCTTAGGCTAAGTGTCTCGACGCTAATGAGCGACTGTCTGCCTCTCGCGCTCTCTGCATATCTATCCACGTCCGTCAACAAATCAAAGTCATAATTCAAGCGAGATGTGCTCATTAAAACAAAAGACTTAGGCAACGAACTTGAATGTACTACTAGCCAAGAGAGGCTGGGCATTGCCGGGCGAGAGGGGCGGCCTGGCTGTGGGGTCAGCCTAGCAACGCTCATTGTATTTGTTTATCGATTGTATTTGTTCAGCCATCAACAACACGACGATGATGATGATGATGATGATGATGATGACGACGACGACGACTCGATTTCAACTTCGCCCTCTGCCTGGCCCTAGCTACGCCTGCTGCCCCCCGTTTCTCCAGCCTTGCCATGTGCTGTGCTGACGCGCTGATTAATAGACCCAACCGCATTCCAAGCTTTGCCTCGCCGTGCTGACTTTCTAAATATTGTGTTTATTTTTTTTTCGAATTTTTCTTCAACCTCAGCTTCGATTTTTTTGCTGCTGGTGAAAAGGCCACAAACCGAGAAACTCAGCAAGAGAAAGAGAGAGAGAGGGGGGGAGATTGAGAGGCGGGACGGCATTTCGTGTGGCAAGTCAAACGGCTGCATAATCGATTTGAATGCTGCAACTGCGGCGACTAGAACTTCAACTTCTAGACACGAGCGTCGTCTCTATGCGCGCCTCAGACTCCGAGCCAAAAGCAACAGGCGGGACTTTAGACTCGAAGCGAGGCACAGCTAACACAGCTAACATAGCTCGCTATTCGAATCTCAGTTTCAGACTCGCTTAGCCGGTTCTGACTGCGTGCTGTTCTTGCTGCTGTTCTTGCTGCTGTTGTTGCTGTTGTTGTAGTCGCTCACGTTTATGTGGCTTGCCCCTCAGCTCTACCTCTACACCATCATCATGGTCCTCATCTTCGTCTGCTGCTTCTTCTGTTCTTTTTCCCTCTAGCTGTCTGTCAGCTTGTCTCTCTGTTCGTTCGTTCGTTCGTCCGTCCGTCCGTCCGCCTGCCCGTCTGTTGTATTCTGTCTGTTTGTGTGTATTTTCATTTCGTGGAAAAGATTTTTAACTCTGTTGGCCGTACGAACCATCTGGATTGCCGAGCGTTCGGCTCTTCGCTTCTACAACCTTTCCCTCAGGCCGACAACAACAACAACAACAACAGCAACAGCAACAATAAAGGCCATAGATTTTTGTTGTAAAATAACAAAAGATTTAAAAGGGCATTAAGCATGCTTTGTTTTTTACCTACACCGAATCTATGTTTGCTCAGCATGTCCCCTGCCCCGGCTCGGCCCGGCCCTGCCTTGCCCTGCCCTAGCCCCAAGACGTCCCATCGAACTACGCAGATTCTGATCAAATACCCAAAAAAGAAATTACAAGGCGTCAGCCGTTATTGCCTCAAGCTGTTGCCCACAATCTCAACTGAGGCAAGTACATTGATCTCTAAGCAAAATACAATAAAGACTACGGTGAAAGTTCGTCATAAATCGAGACAGAGCTCTATATACTCTATATATATACATATATCTATATGTATGCAGATGCAGCGCCTGTGATTAGGTGTCATGGACTGTGTGCCTGTTTGTTTTTTTTTTTTTTTTCTTTTGCTGTGGCAACAGCAATTTTTCTGTTAGCCACTGCCGCGCGCAGTTGCCACATAAATAATTCATAACTGTTTTGCGACAATTCAGTCGCGGCACGCGTTCAATTTACAATGAAATTGTGTAAACGCGCTTAATAAATTCATTTGTGACTGGCCATTAAATGCACGCAGCTCATTACAGCCGCTGCTCCGGCTAAGCTCGCCTGTCTATCTAACCCGCTCCCTCTCTACATCCCTCTCTCTCTCTCTCTCTCGCTCATTTACTCTGTGTGTTAGCCACAAGCCGAGCTGATCTGGCGCTTGGTTACGTGCGCGGATTTTGCAAAATAATTCTGCAATGCGGCAACTTTCTTTCATAAGTTGTTGTTGTTGTAGTGATTGTTGCTGCTGCTGCCGCTGCTGCTCTTCTTGTTGTTGTTGTTGTTGTATGTATATTCTATGTCGTGGCATCACGAAGACAAAGGCAAATAAGCGCAACGAGCGAAGCGGCCAAGCGATCGAGCTGCAAATCTTTCGCAGAAAACGCTGCAAGCGCATCTTCAGCAAATTTTGTTGCGAGGCGGCAACGCGGCAGATCATGCAACAACAAAGCACCGACAAGGCCTGTTATTGGCCAAAAAGAAGAAAACAGCTAAAAAAAACTAAAGACCTCAAGCCACAAAATGCTGGCCCTGGCTACAGCTGCGCTGCGTTGCTTTGTTGCCCATTTCGTGTTCGATGCGCGTTCATTTAGTTTTGAGCACAACAATTGGGCGCAGGTCGTGCCTCACGACAACAACAACAACAGCAACTATAGTAATAGCAACAGCTACAATGAGAGTTGCAGGCAGATGCAGCAGCAGCAGCAACAGCTAAAGAAAAGCTAAGCAAACAATGCTGCCCATTAGATAAGCCTGCCGATTGCGCTTTGTGCAAAGTCCAAGCTGACAGCCAAACAGAGAGAGAGAGAGAGAGAGAGAGAGAGAGGGAGAGAGAGAGAGATGGAGAGAGGCAAGCAGAATCAGCAGCAAAGGCTGGCTTAATGAGCACGCCCTGGCGCTATTTTTGGTGTGAGTTCAATA